TTATTATTATTATTATTATTATTATTATTAAATGCACCATCCACTTTGAGAACTCGAACCAATTTTAAGTTCAAACCCGCATTGCCACAAGCAGTTCATTACAACCTTGGACATTTCAACTGACAGTTCCTGCAGGGTGAACAACTCCTCGAGTTGAACTGTGCTTGTGATAAAAAGAAGTGAACGGTCCTTTCTTGAAGGCCCTGAAGACAGAGAGTAGGCATCAATTAATCCTAAGTCTAGCTTGGAAGCACAGGAACCAATTAGCAGGCCGACAAAGCAGAGCTGCAGGCGTCCCACTCGGACATTTATGAGTGTGTTAAGAAGTCACCAGAACATCTAAAAGCAGTATGAAGTAAACATAAATCTGCAATGAAGTGGGAGGAAGTGACTATGCCCCAAGTCACGAGAAGATCTCTTGACTCTGATCATGTTTAGAAAAGGTTCAAATATCATTAAAACAGGATTTCAGTGCTCCCCATCCTTGTATTTTATCTACAACCAGTTAATACAAATGATTGTTTCTCTGATATTTTGGTACTGCCCAGTGAATGAAAACAAAAATCTAATAAAATCGTTCTCTGTTTCATTTCCTCCTTTGGCAAATCCAGCGCACGTCTGAAGGCAAAGTGAACAAATCCGTTTGATGTCTAATCTGTCAGAACATCTCACTTGAACTGCATCAGACTTATTTTTATGGATGCTTTCATATCCTGCAGAAACTGCTGGAATTAATGTGACTCCAGAATAAACATTACTCTGCTCACTTAACATTTCCTCAGTGTACAGAGTCGTGCATCCTTTCCATGGGCAAATATCATGGATTAGAGAGACTTCTATTTGCGATATGATGATCTTATACAGTACTACAGTCCTGGTCTTTGCTAACAAAAATAGTTAGAAACAATACAGCAGTTAGTATAAAAATACTTTTCTTCAGATAGAAAAGCAAGCATGTTCATTTTGTTTGTCACTGTACGACAATAAAAAAGGTAAAAAGTTATTTTTCTATGTTTTGAAAATCACCGTCACAAAAGGCCAGTATGACCAGTTATAACAACACCCTGGTTATACACCGGTTATAATAATTTGTTATTCTCATCTTCTTGGCTAAAAAGATAAGGAAACTGCAATCAGTCACAACTGTGGTTTGTTTTTTGTTTTTTAAATATTCAATGTGTTGAAATGTGGCTCCCCAATTTAGAGTAAAAAACGCAATTGGAATAAAAACAGCAAATGAATGATTTGATATCAATAGGAGCACTGTGGCAACAGGATCCTTGGAATCTTATTCTGGTGGAGTTGGATGATACAGTTTACTGATCTACTATCAATTTAAAACTTCTCCTGGAGTATCTGAAAAGTAAAAACTATCGTTAATATCTTCCATGCCGCTGAAGAATTAGGGTTTAAATTTGGATGGTGGTTAGAACGAGGATCATACAGTAAGTAGAACTAGGCTTAGGAAATAAATTAGAATTAAGGTTAGGGTTATCTGGCTATTCATATACAGCTGCATGATGTTATGGATCTGTAACCAGATTAATAGGGAAAGCGATGTGAAACAGAATAGACAAAAGACAGACAGAGTAAGATCATACAGAGTATAAATTGTTGCATGCTGTAGGAATACAGTAGTATCGTGCTAGTACAAGAGGGCACAGCAGTCAAATGAAAGTCAGTGGTTACTGTATAGTTCGATATCTGTGGATCCAGGGAGAATGCATTTCATTTAGTTGTTTATATTTCTCTGAAATCTAAACTGCTGTCACAGCTACATCCCTCAGAGTCCCGTGCCACATCAGCATTCTTTATTTTTAGAGACGGGAACAATTTTAAAAGTGCTTATCAATGATGTTGTTTGTTGTTCCCAGTTGACTTCTAGCCTTCAGAAACAAATAAATTGAAGTAGTTCTAGGCTGTTATATTTGACAACAGTTTCTGGAGTGATTTAATAGAATGGATGTGTTTCACGCCTTTTATGGGCTAAAAATTCAATATCTTTTTTTGACAGTGCGTTAGCAGTGTTGCGAAACATACCTCATAATAGTTTAAATCAGTGCCAAAACCTGTAAAATTAATGAGGCCTCATATGGATTACATTTTCTAAATATCAAAACAATGAGACCAAACTTAGTTATAAAAGCATCTTAATATGATTTTTTTCCCCAATTGTAATACAGTTTGCCCTTTACAGAACAATTCCTTTTACTTCACTTGTTAATCAAAGAATAATCGTTTTTTAATGGTACAAAATACGATTAGTGGTCAATTTTCTTTTGTGGGAAAGTAATGATAAAAATTAGATTTGGAAGATTCTGTTAAAAGGTTTCTTGCCGCAATGCAATAAAAAGCAGAAAATATCCCTATCTTTATCTTACAGTATGTCGCTTTTTATACAATCACTGCCGAAAGAAGAAAGGGATTAAAGCAGGTAAAAAGGGGAATATTTTAACTATTCATTTAGACTCATTTGGAAGACAAACCGTACCCATGTATTTTTCATATTTGATCTTTAAAGATAACACTTTCTTCACAGAAGATTTGCAGTTCACATCCAGTATTTTTACAAATGGATTGTGAATGTTGAATGTTTTGTTGAGATAACAATAGCATCTTGTCTGTCCTGGCAAAAGCGGTCATGATCCATCTCAAGACCAAACTACATGCACATCTATAAAGCTACAGTACATGATGAAGTCCACAATTCAACACAGCATGCAGGTTGTGTTCTCAGTGATGCCCACAAATATTTCAAGTACTAGTTGATATCTAGATTTATGAAGGAAAAGGAGGTAAACAGTATATTTCGATCTAAAGTATTTTAATAGTCAAATGGCTTATAATTGTTTCCTCTGGTAAAGCTGTATAATAACCTAAATTTAGTTGCACAGCAGCAATGGGATCTGCTTCGATTCACTTCAGTTCTGAAATTCAAATGAGTTTAAAAAATGTTCCTCACAAGTCAAATTAAATGTTGAAAAGCAACCCATAATCTTGTCATCTTCAGGCTTTGTGAAAAAGGGCTGGTCGTGGATTATACTCAAAGGTGAGGTAGCTTATTTTATATTATCAACATTTAATTTGACTTGTGAGGACCATTTTTAAAACAGAAACCCCAAGTGTTCTCAGTAATCGTCAATACGTTTAGGTATTCTTTTACAGAACACTGCCACCTACTGTCATTAACAGGCATAACCACACACAGAGCGTAAAACTGTTGTAACTATTAATACAACATTATAACAGAAATAAATTCGGCTTCCTATTATGGTGTCATCATCTGTCTGCAAAACAACAAACAGAAAGGCTTGCTTTTCATGTCCCTGTGAAGTTAAATGGTTCTTAATAAAACAACAAAAAAAGCTGGTTTGAAAGTAGAGGAGTGGGTGTGTTCACTGACATGTTTGCTCATACAGCGCGTGGTTTACAGTTACAAAGGCAAAGCTGAGTGACAAGTTGGATCCACTTTTAATCTGCTCTCTTCTGTTGCCTTTGTTTATAAAACCAGTTACTGAGCAAAAAGTGCAGGGCAGTATCAAATATTCTGACAGAAAGAAACTGAAATGATTTGGTATCCCCATGCAAAGCACACAATGACCTTCTAAAAAAGATAAGCTATATTATCCATATCTAGACTCGGATACCTAGAGATCTGACTCAACATGGCACTTGATCATACAGGGTAGTAACACTGTCACACTAATTTAAAGCAAGGATCTTTGACCTTTAATGGACTGCCATTACACTCTCCGTTCCAGTTTCCCGACGCCGATCGAGGAGTGCGAGGATCGGGTGCCCAGGTGCAGCATCCAGGTGGATGCTGCACATTGGTGGTGGTGGAGGGGAGTCCCCATTACATGTAAAGCGCTTTGAGTGGAGTGTCCAGAAAAGCGCTATATAAGTGTAAGTAATTATTATTATTATTATTATTATTATTATTATTATTATTATTATTATTACCAGTGCTTCTTGAATTGCAATGAAAATAACAGATTCCAAGTTTTTGCTATCCTGTCTTAACCACACAGAGTCGTACATCGTCACCAACTTCTCAAATCCAGTCACCAACTAGAGTACATGAAACCTCAGGGTAAGCTGACAATTTTTCCAGTTTTGTCACCATTTTATTGTACTTGCAATAACAGCAATATTAATTCCTTTGCATTTTGTGGAACACTTGCAAACCAGAAGAATCCCTTAACATTTATACCTTTTATTCTTACAGTATTTTGTGGTGTTCTAGCTTATATTAACTTTTTAATTACATCCTACACTTTGCCTTTACTGTAATATATCATAGGACACAGTTACCATTTTTTCTAAATAATAGGTAAATATTCCTTCTAATATTCCAAGCAAATATATTGAACGTGACAGACATTACTCAAGAAATATTAGATATCTGGCAAAGGGCATCTAATATTTCTTTTTGACACCTGATGCAGTAATGCCAAGCAGAAGCACTGACTCCAAATACTCAGTTCATTACTGTGTAGCATGTCATTGCTGATGGAAACTTGTGTGAAAGAGGCTAAAGTATTGAAAACGAACTGAGACGGTTTTATCTCCAGCTTCTCAAAGAAATGGTGAACTAGAACCCAGAAATTGATACTGCAGCACACAGCTTGGCATGGGAAGTACTGTATGTCAAAGCCCAAAAAATGAATATTCAATTTACTGCAGGGAAAGGTTTGCACACATACAACACAAGGTTATGTAATTTAATGTTGTTACAAATCTAATGGGATATAAATAGATGTTTAAGCAATGACACTTTTTTTGATAAGCCATCGGATGACGTAAGCCAAGATAAACAAGAAATAAAACAAACAAATACCTTGTCGAATTCAACTGCTGTGTGGAGAGTGAATCCTGGATCTTTGCCATGAACGGACTTGTCAACAGACTGTAAGAGAGAAGCATTTGTCTTCCTTTACAAAACCCGCAGTTAAGAACATGGCAAAGTTACTGAGCCTTTGTGGAATTCAGAAAACCCTTGCATACATTGGGATAAGATGATCGGTAAGGTGAGGTTCACAGTTCTGTCTTCTGCCTCGATAATAGGCATTGAGAAGCATCATGGTAAGAACTGGTTAAGTAAAAAGTTAGTTTTAGCCAGCAGAAGAACATGCCGCACTGAAAATATTAAAATAAAAGTAACAAGAAGGCTGCAAGATGGAAAAATAAAACTCAACAGCCTGCAGTAATTGCTTCCTTTTCCATTTTAATGTTTCAATTGCATTTCCCACATTACTCATTTAAAAGTTATTAGTCTATAGGAAGATAACATTATGTGTAATAAGAATGCAGACCAATTTAAATGGAGTAGATTTTAAGATATTAATGCATGGAAAACCATTTGTAGAAAACAAAAATGATTTTGCTAAATAAGTATTCCTCCTCTCTTGAAGAAGATCTATGGAAATATTAGTTCACCCTACAGCACTGAAAACTGTGGTTCAGTTTGTTCTTTTACTTAGTATGTATAGTTTTATCAGTATGACACTTCTCAAACTGGTATTGACTTAATTTCCTGATATTTTACTTAAAGATGTTGATATTTAGCAAATTATCAATTATGTTAACACAAAAAAAATCCAAACAGGAGGGGACCACAATTTTTATCTCTTTGATTATTAGTAGTTTATTGACCTGAGAATCTCATTAAGCTTTGTTTCAAGGCCCACACATCATTTTAACTTTTAAAAGGTTTTAAAAAAGAAAAACACAGCGTGCAAATCTGGAAGGAGGTTAAAAGATGCTCACATCCATCTTTCAGGGAGCTCAAAATATTCTTCTTATGATCCACTGCAAAAAAAATTTAATATTTGTTCTAGTTAACTTGAGGTCCTGTAAAAAATAAAAGTGGTCCGACAGCTCAAACACTTAGAAAATGAAGACAACGATGCAACTGAAGCAAAATAAAGTTGGTTATCTAAAACGACTGAACAAAACAGGACCAAGAGCCCAAAGAGCTTGAGGACACAAAGATGCTTTACTCAAATCAAAGCAATTATGTGAAGAGAATAATACCTGTATACACATTAATAGATACTGTATGCTTTTTGACCATTTTAATTTTATCATGTTTAATGCATGTGATCAAGCAAAGCTTGTAAACATTTCTGCTTTATTTCATTTTCCATGATACAGCGTGTGTCTTGCTAATAGGTGTTGCTTTTATGAATGTCAGATATGCTATACATATGACCAATAATTAAAAAAATACATGTAAATTGTGAAATCGGTTAATCAAAAGTAAACATGCTACTTCTGTGATGCTAGTTCAGAGATATTCAATGGTCTTCTTTTTAACCAGATTGTTTAAAGTACTGTACAAGACATACATCTTCAGGTAATGCCACTGAAACATGTTTCATTTTCCTTTTCACACTCTTGCTGCTTTTTCTTGGCCCTCTCTCGATTGGGAAATCAAGAGCATTATAAAAACACCAAGTTGAGAAGTCAGAAGGGGGTCTACCAGAAGAAGACATTTCCCAAACATGATAGTTTCGGATTACAAGATTTGGGGGGAAATGACACAATTCTCTATATTGCACTTTACGCAAACATACAGTACTGTACGTACATACATTCATCGCAGTATCATTTAGGTTCACTTCAAGGTCATTGTTTGGCATGGAAATATAACTTCAAAAATATTACTAAGAGCAGACAAGATGTCTAATCACTGAGTTACAAATATCTTTTTTCACTAAAATACCATATTCTAAGGCTATGATGTCCTGAGGTATTGCCACAAAAGTATTCTATAATTATGAAACATATCTAACATGGTACTACATAGTACAAGAGCTTACATGCAATAATTCGGTTTCCAATATGTAGCCTACATGTTGGCTAATGTTGCCTCATGTTGCCTCTTTCATTTCCTACCCAGAGAAACCATCTTTTCTGGGTCATTTAGAGGCAGGAAATGGGACCAAATAGCAGCTAGTACTGTACTGAATATATAAATAAAAGTATATGTAAAGTATCTTTGTCTTGTGCACGGTTGATTTTGGAAGTGTCGCCCTACTATAGAACCTCTTCCCAATTCTAAAAATAGTTTATAGCTTGTCAAACACAAAAATGCCAGTTTGTTTTACACATTTTAAGGTGAATGTGTACAGTACCATGCGGCCATCAACTTTGACACCTGCAGGGTAAGCAGGGCAATATGGTCGTGTGACATTAAGAATTTTAAAAATTTTTAACTTTTTAAATTTCCAAGTACTAAAATTAGATGAGCGCAGGGCATAAGTTTGAACTTTGCAATCTGTCACAAATTTCCATCTAAAAGTAACTTTAAGAGAAACTTATTTTGCACAGGTAGGGTGCTGATAATGTCATGTTTTCAGACTGATCATTTTCGGAAATTTCTGACAGAAACCAGCCATCACTGAATCAAATATAAAATATAACAGGTCAGGTAAGACTCAAGACATTTGTTCATAATATAGCGAATAGGTCAAGAAGAAAAAGTTATACGATTCTAAAGGTTATAAGACAACACCAAAAAGCATTTGTTTTTTACAATCATAAGCATAGAGTTCTCTGTATTCTAGCCTGTAAAAATATATTATACAAAGCTAACTCACCACAGTCAATGTTTCAGTGCACTTTAAATTGTCCATGTGTTATTCAGTAACTGAAAGAGCTAATCTGTAGCACATGTTAATCAAAGCTGTCATTCCAGAATTCAAGACTTTATACAAACTCTTAAGGCATATCCAATAAATGTGAACATACAGTACTGTAAGTCTTATAATTATGTTAAAAGTTATCCACATCTTCAAAAACAACCTCCTGCCAGCCAAAAATTATTTTTTGCTGAGTTGCTTCTGGTTATTATACTGTTTCATGTGCAGTATCTGCACTAAACAATCTATATAACAATCTTTACAGAGTTGTTATACTGTAAAGTAGATACAATATTAATAATTCACTTAATAAAATTTTCACTTTATTTGCAGTTTATTACCACCTTGAAACAGAGATACATCCCAGCAGACAGTAGAGATGCAAAGACAAATTAGCATATTGTATTAATATGCTAGAAAAATGAATTACTGTTATAGGGAATAATAATAGTTTATTAATTCACCTTGAATTTTTCTACACTCTTCTGCTAGTGCTATACTGTATACTAAGATTAATAAGTATTTAAAAAGCATACATACTAACAAATATTACTGTTTCAGAAGAAGGATAATATTTTCTCTGACTCTGTGAATAAGCTCCTTATTGTCTTATTCCCTTATGTTTGCTGAAATAGATCCTAATTTCAATTTTGTTACAAATTTAATTTATAAACTTCACTGAATAATGTTTTGAAATACTTTGGATGATTTGAAAAACAAGGTGTCTATTTTATACCGCTTTTGTTTTTCAAATCTTTTGGGACTTGCAAATTAATGTGACTCACCAGTCACTCAATGGAGGGAATGTTAAAACCTCGAGAACATTTACTTACTGGGAAGCATCAGTCACAACAGGCAGTGGGATGTCTTCACCAACAAAGTCCATCTCGTCTACAAAGCTGTTTGTCCGGGAGATATCAATAGGCGGACCCTCAAGTTGTTTCTTGACTGCATTATTTTAAACAAGATGGGGGAAAATTAAAAAAAATAATACATTACCTTTCTAAAACATGTCATAAGTAAATGAGTATGAGTATGGCTGGATATGATGAGTATGAGGGTTTTTTGTAAAATATATTATTACAGAATTATACTTTTTGAACAGATTAATGTGATACACTTTTATATATTATATAGTTTAATAAATCTACAAAAATTGAGAATATTAGTATGTACTGTACCTATACACTTCTACAACACTGTAACACTTTCTCACTCTCTCATCAGTCTCGAATCACACAGTGCAAACCATCACTTCTTTGAGCTCTTGAGATATGATAGTCTGAGAGATGTAGATATAACAGCAGAAAATACTCAAACTTGTATGCCATTTGTATGAAATAGCACAAAAATAATATATGGTAGAAAAATCTATACATGTGTTTTCACATACAAAGTGTGGTGCATGCAACCATACTGTAAATAGTTGATTCAGTCACAATGCAACACAAACACAATACACTGAAAGACAGAGAGACAATATGCTTTGAGAGTAATGCCTTCAGGAATGTTACAACATGAAGTCACAACAGGACGCATGATAAATGTCCACCATGTAGCAGCATTTGTTATCAGACTCAATTAATCATGTAATGACTCAGATGTGGGATTGTTACATTTGGAGCCTTATCACTCCTGCACAGCAACAGCTATGGTTGCAAACAAACTGGGCATTGTGGAAGTAAACCCTGTTTACAGCCATCACATGACTCAGAGCTTCCAATGCCCGATTCAGGCAGGGCTTCATTGGGATTCAGTACCACCAAAGGACTGCAGATTGTGAACTTGCAGATGGTGCTCCTTTATATGGGCAAATCCATTTTCAGATGAACCTTTATTCTCTGATTGATTATTGTAGAGCACATTCATATAGGAGAAACGTCAAACAGTTTGATCTTTTTAATGACTGACTGCTTTTCATAAATGAACTATGGCACATACTATGGTACTCCATCAAGATCCCTATGTTCAAGTTCATGGTGGGCACACCAGGTACTAATTCATTATGGGTACTTGACTTTTTTGTACCATGTGACCCATATCAGATGAGATTTTACCTTTAGCTAATCAGATTTCCTCCTTATTCCATATTCGTATGAGGATGGTGTGGAGGTGTAGTGCTAGTTCCTGTCCACAATGATTAAAAAGGTCAGTGATAATTCCATCCTTTCCTCCTGCTTTGCTGTTCCTTTCATTGCTCAATTGCCCGCATTACTCCATAACTTAGTGATGTGGGATTTAATCTAATAGACTAATCACGATGGAGGATAGCTAATAGAAAAGATCCTCAAAATGTTCCTTGGAAAAAGCATTAACTGCTTCCCTTTCCCTGATCAGGTCTTCATCTTCCTTAGGCCACCTCAAAAGGACTGGCCCTTGGGAATTTGGGCAGGTGATGAAACCTTTCCTTTGACTTGTCTGTCCACCACCTGCTCTTCAAGTTCTCCTTTGAAGCTCTGCCTTTGGCTGTGGGTGGGCCAGCTTCTTCCGCTTCGTGTTTGGGTCACTTTTCCATTAACAGTACATAGCTTTGTGCTTGTGAGCTGATCCATCCGCCTTCAGATTCTAGTGCTGGCAGAACACTTTTTTTCTGCCAAACAAGGCATTTGTGATAAGGAGAAGAAAGCAATTGAAGTTGACATTTCTAACCTTTGCTTCGCTTATGGGTAGAATAAGTGCATCCTCCTTTGGGATTTTACAAACAGTTTAATTTAACCTGACACAAATATCGCCGTTAGTTTCATTATCTGATTATAAAGTAGACTAGCATGTACCATATGATTACAATACTGACACTGATTCAACTCATAAAGTAGATTATTTTTTATGTCAAATCCAACTCCATAAATCTGACTTTCTTCCTATGATTTTCCCTGGCAGAAGCTTTAGAGCCACCACCGTGTTCCTTGAGCTGGTCTTCTCCAGTTCATCGGGTTTCGACGGAGGGAGGCGATGTGAATCTCATATCCCTGGAGCTCTTGGGCCATAAACACATTCTGGCCAGTCATGGTGTGGACAATGGCTCTCGGTCTATGGTCTATGAAGGTGTAGCATGGAATAAATCAGTCAATGACCCTCAGTCGATGAGAACCGCAGTGTTCTGTTTTTTTTTCCCACAGCAGAAGGGTGATCCCTCTTGATATGGCTATCCAGTTATATTTCATTGAAGTAGACTGTGATTAAATCACTACTTTTAAGCCTGCTTCCTGAAAGGAGAGACATCACTATCATGTCCCATCTCAATTCTCTTGTTTCCACACGGATTTGACAGAGGGCTGGAGATGGGAAATGCCTATGCTTGACTGTTTGAGAAAGCACTGCACACAAGCTTCCATACAAATTCTGAGAGAACAGGCTCTGAACCCATGGCATGAACACCCCGAATGACTCATTCTGCTGCAGCCTTGGTCCAAGGGGTCTTAATGGGTTATTTTTCTTCTGCCTGTACTACTAGTGAGGATGTGATTACCAGAGCCCCAGATCTTTCACAGTAAGAGGCCTTCACAATATGCAATATGACTCCAAGACTGGAGCCACTTCTGTATATCACCCTGTCAGCATTGAGCCCACATTAATCATTGTCCAGATTTTACAAAAGGAAATCGAGGATCGTTGGTACCCAAATGCTATTCTATACTGAACATAAAAAAATTTTTAATCACATATAAACTGTAAGACTAATTTAGAAAATTAACTTTTGTTGACCAGATATATGTAAATTCATTATGCTGTACCACATTGGTAAATAAAAAGGGACCTGCTGTGAAATTTCCAGGTTAGCAATGTGTGTGCCCACTTCCAAAAGCAAAACAAGTACAATATGTGTCTGTTATTTGAGTCCTAAATGCCATATTGCCCCATTGGTCAACAGGGAACAGGTCCAGTGAGTAGGGCATGCACAGCATAACTAATCTCACTGCAAGACAGACATTGTTACATCAGTGGTCTAAGGTTGTGTGGTGTCATGCTACAAGGCTGTTACATTTGGATGAACCCACAAAGAAAGCAAATGGGACACCAGAACTTGATCATTCACTGTAAATAATGAGCAGATCTACAGTAAGGTATTATTCCAATGTATCAATGGCACAAAGGCATTGTTCTCATGATAAGGGGTACAAATCTCATATATTCAAAGCAAGACAAAAACATTTAATCCATATCCAAAATAATTTCTTTCTAAGAATACATACAGTATATTAATATATTATACATTTCTTGTTTAGTTACAGATAAAAACGCATATTATCCTGTAAATCATGGTGTTCGTTTCTTACATACATGTATATGGGAATCCAGTAACTTCAAAATTAACAAAATCAAGATGTTACCACAGCTTCTTGCTTGGTATACTTTATCCCCTCAGATTTATACAAAAATGTACAGTATGTGCTCTTGTGCCTAACAATCTCCACATGGTAGAACATTCTGTCATGATATGAAATGTGCATGATATGACCAATTCTCAAATGACGGAAATGGTAAAATCAAGGAATTGATGCATGTAACCAAAGATCGTCTCAATTTTCAGATGATCTCGAGCAACAGTTATGTAAATATCACTTACTCAGACAAAATAATATTGGAAAAATTGCTTTAGTGTGGTGCATAAATAGAGCTTAAAATATACTGTCAATATACTGTAAGCTTAGATGTGAATATTGAGCTCAGAAACTTTAAACATTAAATACTGAGCTGTTATTTTTGCTTCATTAATGTGTATTGCTATTTGCATAAAAAAACTGATTTTAGATTTCAATATTTTGAAAAACACAGGTTTAGAATTTAACCTAAATGTGGATTTAAAAGCTACATCTTTTTCAAAAGTCTAGATTTTGAAACATTTAAATATTTATTTCATGTGTAGATGTGGACACATGTACAGTAAATGTTTTTTTCATGCAGCTGGATAACTATGGAGAACAATAGTCATGTTTTTGAAGTCTGTCAAAAAATACAAGGGACCTGCAGGGAAAAAAGTGAAAAATGGATGCTTGTTTTTGACAAACAGTCCCCCATACAATACATAACGTTCTTGCACGTAGTGTGAAATTAGTCACTGAACTAATATTATTATATCCCCTTTGACTTAAAAACTGAGATACAAACTGTTTCAATGAGGCCCACTTTGAAAATGCCTACTTTGGAGTTGTACCTGGGGAGGAGGGACAGCTTGCAGAGTAAAGGCTTAAGGAAGACCAGGAGAGCTGTTGGCCTGTTTACAACCCGGACAGCACAGGCAGAGCCAAAGGCGCACAAAGACACGGCAGAAAAGAGAAACAAAGAACAATTGTGTTGGAAAGCAATCACTGGGATTCAACGATTTTAAAAAAACAACAGCAACATTCAATTGGGTAACAGAAGAGTGCAATGGTAACATGCTCCTGCATTAGGAAAATAATCAGTTGACAGGAAATGGGGGAAAAAAAAACATTGATAGAGGAAAAACGCTGAAAGTTTCATCTTAAATGAAATTTAGAATTCTGAATTCATACACATCAACATACTGTACATTAAAAGACCTGAGGATCTTCTGGCCAAATCTACAATTCTAATTTCTGCATACATATTTTGATGCGAACCAATAAATATATAGTGAATACAGTCCTTGAAGGTTTCAATGTCAATTGCTGTATATATTAAATATATACCATATACTGTAATATATACTCTAAGATTGTAATGAAGCAAGGAGTAGGCATGGAATTGGGTGAGACTGATGATATTCATAGTACTCATTTCTGTCTTTTAATCTCTATTTTCTTCTAGTTACAGTACTGCTTTGTATATTCACTCAACACCCTGTCAATGTATCCACTCTCTAACCACCTTATCCAATACAGGTCTACAGAGTACCTGGAGCCTATTCTGGCAAGCAACAGGTGCAAGACAGGAATCACTCAACATATTATCACATAATATAGAATTCCTGAGATTAGATTTGATCTCTGATTCCTATGACAAATGTTTCTATTGACTCCTGGAGTGCATGCAAGGTAACTTCTCATAATCTGAGCTAATTCATTAGATCCATTAAGTTAAGAAAAAAAAAAGATCTTGCTAAGATACAGTCTCAAAACACAAAATACTAATAAATATGTGCTTGCTTCTTAATTTGCATTGGACAAAACAACTCTGTGCTGCAAATTAATTTTTACGGTTTTGTGTTCATTGCAATCGTGAAAACAAAAGCTGGTGACCATGTCCATGTTGGAACTCACTGAGGTTACTGTGGTTGTGTGTGCAGATTTGAATGATGTCATAAATCATATACTACAGTACCATCCCCAACAGATCCAAGTCAAAGCAGAAGAATGCCTAGTGTGTTATCCACACCATTAAAGAAGTGTTTGATGCAAGTGTGGTAGATACAGTATATTGTGTATTTACATTCTCCTCCAGATAACTTTTTTCTTTTTAATGCTAGACATAGATTGTACTCTAGAATTATCTCTTAGTTCTTGTTGTAAATAATGCTGTAAGGACCCATGTCAGCAGTCAATCACCTACTGTATATATCCAAATATAACCAAATGAACTAAAGCAGAAGAAAATCACCCACAGTAGGGAGTTGCTTGATATGGTGTCTTTTCCACCTGTGTGTGTCCATCATCAATTGGCCTGAACTCATTATGAACCGTTTAGTCAAAAATAAAGGAACAATTTCTTTCTCCGACAAAACTCCTTCGGTATCATCCATAAACTTGATGTTTTACTAAATATACCAGAACCTAGATCCTTATGATAATCCATATATTATATCACCCCCAACATTCACTCCTTATCTTTTCTACCCTTGTTTTCAGTTAGCCAGCTCTAAATCTCTTTCCTTGAATGACAAATGCTTCAACTTTGAGAATTAATCTATTACGAAGTTTTGTAAAATCCTTCTGGACATCTAAACACGTCATATCATATGCTCTGAGTGTGTCCTTTACTGTTGTTTCTGATTTTTGTTAAAATAATTCTACCTCTTCTATGTTGACTAGCTCCTACTATCTGATTGCAATATGCTGTACAGTAGGTTACACTCCTAATTTAGCTCCATATCAATTACCTCAGTGAACAGAACTCAGTAATTATTTGATTCACTTTAGTCACCATTCTTACGGAAAGGCACTGCTTGATAATTTTTTCAGTCCATTAGTAGTACGCCTGTTTTCAATGACTGAGAGGTGTCAGTGGCTTCTGGATGGGATGACAGCTCATTTCCTTGAGTATAGAAGTAGAAAATTCCTCTTATCGTATTATTTCTAAAAACCTGAAGTGGGTTTCTTTTCCTTTCAGCATGGGATAAACCTTTACCTGTTCACCTATGCTGCTTGCTTGGTCTCTGAATCCACTAGTTCAACCAGTCCATGAATTTACACTCTTCATCCTATTTCTGGCAGCAATACATCTCTCTGTGCGATGTTATGTGTTCATATGTAGACAATGTACAGTATAAGACTCCTTACTCATCTGCTACCCATGATTTGAATATTTCAGTACACAACATGGGTCAATACACAAATCTGTATTACTGCTTTTACATTTTATCATAGATAACCATGGCCTGGATTCAAAAGCCAGATTGGTCAAAAGGTTTAAATATTAAGTTATTCATTTTTATTCATCTTCTCATGACATCCCCATCCATTTAAACAATTTTTTAATCAAGTGAGTGCCTGGTTGGAGTGAATTGTAAAAGTGTGTCCATCCTTTCAAATGTGCAATTTCATTGTAAAAATGAATGGACTTTCTTGCTTGATTTTTTAGCTATATGATCCCTTTCTCTTGTCATTTGGATGCTAGAATGTATCAGCTCATATCAGTGAAAGTATACAGCAATATGGGCAAATCAGCATTTCATCCAACACAATGCTCTTTGGTCTTTTTGGACCAAAGTACTAGAAGAAAGAAATAACACCCTACGTTGGATGAAAACACCCAAAAAGGAATTTCCTCAACAGTTTTTTTTTTCTGCAGGTCTGAAAGCAGACAAGTAAGACAATGCCAACCCTCTCAATTTCTTGTATGGGTTTTTCTTAATTGATCCTGAAAAATCTTCTAGTCTGAGGCTGGGAAGGGAGTGTGCAGATTTTAACCCTTTCTTTGATTCAGCTCCAATCTGCAGCTGGTTTAAGTTCTGGAAATGCCATCAGGTTTAATTTACGGAACTCTGATATCTGTATCCGTGAGCCACAGTAGTCCACAATAGGGAAAGGGGAAATGACCACATACAGTATAAAAATGAATGCTGACATTCAAATTCAGTCTGCTGAGTAAAACATTGAAGATGCTGCCAAACAACATTTTTACGTTCTTCGTAGCCAGTTTAGAATAAACCTGACAGTTCTTTATCTTAGCATCCACTTCAGGAAAGTCTTGTCCTGGTCTCCCCATGTAGAATTTAAAATGTTAATTTTGTTATCCTAAAACATAGATGGAATGTTGGCCCTATAATTACATCTTGCCATTTAATAGGAATGTTCACAAAATGCCAGGCATGACATCCCAATTCACTTGTTTTCCATAATCATAAACTCCTTAGGTACAGTATGTTGCTTTCTGTTTTCTAAATTGAAAGAACAAAGGGATGCACATTCTAACAAATGACTTACAGATCTCCATTTAATAATGCATGCATACAGCTCTATGGCCTAGGGACAAGGGACAAGGCTTTCTTCATACTCACATCTACTAGATTTCAGGACCAAAGAAGGATTAGCTTCAAATATACTGTATATATATATTTTTTTCATACAAATCTTTAGCAACTGTTAGTATTTGGGATAAGGCTTAGATTAGTATATTGTAGATAATATTTCCTGAGACGATTTAAATGTGTTTAAAAATCCTGTTGAATGATTCATCCATTTTCTAACCACCTTAACTAATACAAGGTCACTGAGCAGCCTGGGATACGTCCTGGACAGGTCGCCAGTCCATCATAGAACACACACAGACACAAGCTAAGGAACCTACCAGTATGTCTTAGGACTGAGGGAGGACAAAATGAGACCAGAAACTCCAAGCACCCCCAGAATTGAACCCAGTACTGGCTAGCATTGCTTCCTCACATTCTGTCATCATGCCACCCCTACAATGATTCATTTAACTTTTCCCCACAAAGAGTATATTTTCCTTCATTTTCATGTGGTAATGCCATTTGGGCTTAGTACTGTACCTTGTGCAATTCTGTTTCTAAGACACAATTGCTTGCTGGCAGTTGGCACTTTTAAAACAAAGACTCCAACACTGGTCTTTCAGTGCAGCAGAAGTACGTAGATATGGACAGCTGAATTCACAGCTGCTAAAACAATACTAGTACTTTGTTGAAAACCTCAACAATCCCTTCCCTGGTTTCATTAGGTTCTAGCATGTCTTGATATTAATTATATGGCGCTTTCTACAACTTGGGTTAATGATGTTGGTTAGATGTGCAGTAAAGGCTTAGAGAGCTCTGGTGCAGACATGTTTGTGTCTTTGTCACATTGTGCTTGTACTATTTCATGATTTTACTGCTCATGTCCATTGGGAGGAAACGTAGAGGAGAAGCAGCAGGAAATATTTCTGGGGTGAGAAACAAGATCCGTAAAAATGTGATTGCAAACAGGTGAAGGTGAGCACTGCAAATTATAAATCAGAACGTGTAAAGTATATAATGTGCCATAATCTGATTAACTATGCTTCGACCTAAAAGGGTATCTGAAAATTTTAGATGAATGCATAATGAAAAGAGTGATCTTTTACAAGCCATACAGTGATAAAACATACACATGGTTAAGAAATGAGAAGACACAAATCAGCACATCAAGAACTAATGGACAATCAAATATTTAATTAGAGAATTAACCTTAAATGGCCTGGTATATGGGTATGTTTCATAGCTTAAAATATAGTATGAGCAAGGCAAATTAAAAAAGAATTGTTCAATTCAGACACTGAATTACTACGAAAGCGGAATGCAGTACTTCTGAAAGAACGTGCCCAGATTCCCTTTAAAAGTAGACTGAAGCACGTCCATTGTTTAGCAGAGGAACTGAAACATTTTGAGCGATTATTTTCACCCCAGCAAAGACAATAGTCTTTGGATTTTTAATAAAGTTTGTTTTACACAGTTGAGTCAGGAAGCATAAATTATGCTGGGCCGTGGCTTTCTGAAAAGAGTGAAACAAGAGGAGAGAAAAGCAACCAGTACATCCTCCAGTTTTCATTCAGCAAAAGGGGTTA